GGTCCCTGGAATCGGCGGCGAGCGAGGGGGGAAACGAGGAGGAGAAGGCCTTCTCGGAAGGCGGCGGGACTTCTCAGAAGCCCTCGCACCCTCTGAGAAGTTTTTGTCCCGTCTTCGGGGAAGGCTCAGGAAACTTCTCAGAAGCCCCAGGGACTTCCGAGCCTTCTGAGAAGGCCCGCACTTCTCACTTCCCCCCCTCGCTCGCCGCCGAGCGTGGGGTCCCTCGAAAGCTCGACCCTCTCCCAGGGGCCAGCGTTCCATCTTCACGGTCCCGCGGTGCCTGGCGAGGGCCTCTGGAGAGGCCGGAGGCGGCGAAGCAAATCCGTCCTGCTTTTCAGTACGTTGGATCTCTGGGGCAACATCGAATCGGCCGATCCAAGATGTACAGTCAGCCCGTATAACAAGGACGCACGAGAAGGATGCAATCGACCCGTAAAAATAGCCGAACAATCGTCCCCTGACTATTTTTTGACTATTTGAGGATATGCCTCCTGTGAGGGGGGACATGCCGACTTCACCCTACAGTAAACCCGTATAACAAGGACGCACGATAAGGATACAAGGGCCTTGGACGCCCATCTCGAAGCCTTTCGAGCGGGGCGCGGCCATCGAAAACGGCGAAGGATGGGCCGCGGAGGCAAGGATGCAAGGGTCCCATTGGGATGGTTGCCCATCCTTACTATGCGGGTTGATTGGACTCCTGTCATAGAACCTAATCGGCCGCTCCAGGATGTAGAGCAGCGCCAAGCCAGCACCATCGGGCCGCACCAGATCGCCAGAACACTGGAGCCGCACTGGACCGAGCCCCCCCCTCAGACGAAGCCAAGACGAAGATAGAGCCTGGTTGGGGAAAATCGGGCATCTCTCGGATCCAGCGGATCCGGAAGAGTCTCGGGCCCCGCGCCCTTCTCAGAGCGTTCCGGAACGCTCTGAGAGCGTTTCGGGACGTTCCGGAACGGATTTATCCCCGCCCGCCTTCTGAGAAGTCTTGAGCTACCCCCGAAGGCACGAAAAAAAAAACTCTGAAGGTGCGAGGGCTGCTGAGGAGCCACGCCGCCTTCTGAGAGGGCCTGCTCCTTCTCGCTTCCCCCCCCCGCCCGCCGCCGAACCTAGGAGGTTGGGCTGGTGGGGCCGAGTGCACGGTTTCCCCTGGGGCCGTAGGCGACCCGAGGAGGAGGAGGAGGAGGAGGAGGAGGAGGAGGAGGAGGAGGAGGAGGACGGGTCGCCTAAGCCCTTCGGAGAAACCCTCCAGGGCCGAGATGCCACTTGCGGCTCGTCTTTGAAGCGCCGCACCAGCGCGCCGCGGCCGGCTCGGGCGGGCCGCCGCCGCGGCCGCCGCTGCCGCCCCGGGGCGGCCGGCCCCCCACGAGTTCCTCGGTGCGGGGCCCGTGCCCTCTCCTGCGGCGAAGCCCGGGCAGGGACAGAGTGGCAGAGGCTGGAGGGGCCCAGGGACACACAGATGAAGAGGCGCAGCTCTGTTGGACGCCCGAAATGGGCACGGAAAGAATGGGTACAATGCCCAACAACAAATCTTGTCCCAAACCAACAGTGGCCGCTGTTGAACTGCTGTTGGGCACTGTACCCATTCTTTCCGTACCCATTTCGGGCGTCCAGAGCTCTCAGGAGTCCCCACATGTTACCGTGTTTTCTGGATCTTCGGCTCCCCCACCACTTCCCACAGTTTCCCACATTTCCCCGGGAGCCGAAGATTGATTGTGTCTGTTTGTTGTTCCCCTCCTGACAGGCTGGACGGGGATATGAGTCGGGGATCTCTGAGATCTGGCGGTTCCCGAGGGTGTACAGCAGGTTCGCGTCTCGTCGACCCCAGCGTTGGCTCCTGCCACCGCGGGGATCGCTCGAATTTGAACGATCAGGGGCTTTTCAGACGCGCTGGATCATTCGACGATGGGCCGATTCTGAACCACAGGCGGCGCTCAACCTTAAACGCCCGCGATGGGGTCGCCGCTGGTCGACACGACGCGAACCTGCCGAAGTAAACATAAACGTTTGACGGTCCGCGCGGATTTCTTGAATCTGCGCTGGACCCCCTCCCTGGCAGGGGGTCCCAACGCCGATCCGAGAAATCCGCGCGGAGCTCCAAGACTCCATGCTGATGCCGTTTTTTGCTCCTCGAGTATTGGGAGAGCGTTCCGGAACTCGGGGGTCCAGCGCGGATCCGAGAAATCCGCGCGGACCCCCAAGCTTTTCATGTTTGTGTCCCTTGTTGTTCCCCCAGGAACGCTCTGAGAGCGTTCTGGAGCGCCCTGGAACGACGCCACCCGTGTCCCAGCCCCGCCCGAGCTCCCCGGGGCCGGCTCTCGTCCACCCGAGGCGTGTTGCTCCGACGGCCGCCCATGGCCGAGGCGAGAGGCCCCCAGGGGCCGCACACCGCCAGAAACCTTCAGTCGCGTTCTTTACAAGTAGAAAAAGTAGAAGAAGAAGGAAGAAGAAGAAGAAAAAGAAGAAGAAGTAGAAGAAGAAGAAGAAGGAGAAGAAGAAGAAGAAGCAGAAGAAGTAGAAGAAGAAGAAGCAGAAGCAGCGCCCTCAACACAACCCTGTGGCGCTCCGCGCGGATTTCTTGATCTGCGCTGGACCCCCTCCCTGAGCGCCAGGGAGGGCGTTTCTCTTTTTCCACTCTTTTGGCGCGGAGCCAGGGGTTGAGTAGGGGATCGACTACAGAATTGATTTACTCGTCGAGCACATGGACAAACTCGTAGAATGCGACGTAGAGCTACGAACACTCCACGCAGTTCTCATGGATTCAAAGATCGGGGGCGCGCAAACATGGATCGGGAGAGGTGCCCTCCCCAAAATGCGGCCTGTGCCGCCTCGTTCGGCGGCGGATATCAGCGACTCCCCATGGAAACGGGACCCGACGCTGACCCACGCCCACTTGATCCATGCCTGCGATCGCCTGAGCATTCCTCATGGACTCGACCAGAAAACCCATCTTTTCGGACGCCCGATATGGGTACGGAAAAAATGGGTACAATGCCCAACAACAAATGTTGTCCCAAACCAACAGCGGCCGCTGTTGGGCAGGCGGCCTTCTGTCTCGAATGGACACGGGCCGCGGCGGCGTGGACAGCGAGTCCTGTTCAAAATGAACAGGATCCGCTGTTGGGCATTGTTAGGGGGCCACATGCGAACCCTACCCCTACCCCCCACGATTTCTGAGGGGGAGGGTGGCGTTCACTTCGTTCGGGAGCTCCCGAGCGAAGTGAACCCCACCCTCCCCCTCAGAAATCGTGGGGGGTAGGGGTAGGGTTCGCATGTGGCCCTCTAATCCCACCAGCCCTTTAGGGCGTAGGTGGTCTAGAGAGTTTCCTCTGCCAACCCCCTTCTTCCCCTTCGGGGAGGGGTTTACCCCTCCCCTTACCCCTCCCCACTGACCTGGACGGGGCGTTCCGCGACGCGTTGGGACGTCCAAGATGGCCCAAGACAGCTCCAAGAGCGAAAAGGCGAGAAAACACAAAACATTGATTTTACCTAGGTTTTGGAAGGATTTTGGCCTCTTGGGGGGGCCCAAGAGGCGATCCGAGGCACTCTAGAGGGGCGAGGCTAATTAAGGCTCCCCCCTTCTTTGATAGATCTCATCCAACATAGCCCAAAGAGCGCCCCGAAGGCTCCCAAGAGCGCCCCAAAAGCGCCCCAAGAGGGCCCCAAGAGACCCCAAGAGGCCCCCAAGAAGCCTCCAAGACGCTGCCAAGAGACCCCCAAGAGGCTCCAAGAGAATCCAAGATGGCCCAAGACGGCTCCAAGAGCGAAAAGGCGAGAAAGCAAAAAACATTGATTTTACTTAGGTTTTGGAAGGATTTTGGCCTCTTGGGGGGCCCAAGAGGCGACTCGAGGCACTCTAGAGGGGCAACGCTAATTGGGGACCCCCTCTTCTTTGATCGATCTCCTCCAAGATGGCCCCAAGAGCGCCCCGAAGGCTCCCAAGAGCGCCCCAAGAGCGCCCCAAGAGCGCCCCAAGAGGCCCCAAGAGGCGCCCAAGAGGCCTCCAAAAGGCTCCCAAGAGACCCCCAAGAGGCCCAAGAGGCTCCCAAGACGGCCCAAGACGGCTCCAAGAGCGAAAAGGCGAGAAAGCACAAAACATTGATTTTACTTAGGTTTTGGAAGGATTTTGGCCTCAAGAAGGGCCCAAGAAGCGATTCGAGGCACTCTAGAGGGGCAGCGCTAATTGGGGACCCCCCCTTCTTTGATAGATCTCCTCCAAGATGGCCCCAAGAGCGCCTCGAAGGCTCCCAAGAGCGCCCCAAGAGCGCCCCAAGAGGGCCCCAAGAGGCCCCAAGAAGCGCCCAAGAGGCCTCCAAGAGGCCCCCAAGAGACCCCCAAGAGGCCACAAGAGGCTCCCCGAGATACGCAAGAGGCCCCCGGGACCGCCAAGAGGCCCCAAAGACGGCCCAAGAGGCCCCCAAGCTCGCCATTGTCCTCCTCCTCCTCCTCTTTTTCTTCCTCCTCCCTCCTCCCCCTCCCCCTCCTCCTCCTCCTCCTCCTCCTCCTCCTCCTCCTTTTCCTTTTCCTCCTTCTCGTCCTCCTCGTCCTCGCAGTCCTCCATCTCCTCCTCCTTATCTTCCTCCTCCTCCTCCTCCTGCTCCTCCTCCTGCTCCTCCTCTTCCTCCTCCTACTCCGACGACGACGGCTCCTCCTACATCCTCCCCCTCTTGGGGTATATGGCGGCTCACCCCGCCCTTTGTTCTTCTGCATGCTCCCCCGCTTCCCTCATAACCTCCACTCCCCTGGGACTCATTTCTGGACGGGCTGGTGGGGATACGCGAAGCGTCTAGAATTGTACCCATTCTTTCCGTGCCCATTTCGCTCGTCCAGAATCTTGGGGGCACAGCGATTCGGCAAGCGATCCCCCGCTCGAAGCGGGTGCCTGTGCGCGGCGGCCCGCCGGCACGGCCGCCGCCGCGCGCGCGCGAGAGCGCGGGCCGCCGCACCCCGGCGGCGGCCGCCGCCCCGCCCGCGGGCGGCCGCGCCGGCGGCGCGGCGGCGGCCCGCCAGCGCGGCCGCTCGCGCGCAAAGGCGGCCACGTCCTCGACGAGCACGCCGCCCTGTCGGGAAGGTCAGGCGATGCTGAAAGAGCACGTCAGGGCAACGCGGGCCTCGGTGGCAGCCTCCCATGCCAACTCGTCGGCTCTTGCGGATCGACGCTCATCGACGCTGAGTCGGCGCGAATCGACGCTGAACAGACGCGCTAGTCGACGCGAAGAAACGCTACAGCGGCGCTACCTCATCGACTCCCAGGCGCTCACCGACGCTAGTCGACGCTAAAGACAAAATTCAGAGGGCATGCAGTAGGGGCTCGACCACAAGAAACCTTCCACAGGAAACCCGGCCCTGAGACCCCAGGGCGTCCATTCCTTTTTGTTGTGGGAACGTCACGCTTTCCATCGCAGAACCGTCGAGGCCCAAGAAATCCAGGGCACCCTGGAGTCAAGCAGGGTGCGTCTTGGCACGGGCCTCCACCTGTGTGCACACACACACCGATCCTCGCCAGGCTCAAACTCGGGCCAGGATCGCTGCACAACTAATTACGACTTGGTGGCTGGGCCAGGGAGGCAGATGTCTGAGCATTTCCTCAGGGTGGAGGGCTCAGGGTGACATCCACATGGGCTTTGGCACCTCGAAAATCAATCCGTCGTGTGATTCACCTTTTGCAGATTCAAGCCTCGAACATCCATCGAAACGGCATTTCAGATTTCACCCTTTGCCCTCCACCCAAAGAAAATGCTCGGGATGTACACAGGTCCTGGGCCCAGGATGGGCCCAGCCAGGATCGGTGCATGATGGGCGTATTTTTTATTCGGCGTTTCGACATTGGGGGGGGAGGGAGGGGGGGTCTGGCTCCGGACCTCTGCTGAGCGCGACGGTTTGCAACGGTGCGCCCTGTGGTGGGGACTCCGCCTGCTCGAGACAGGCGTCAAAAACAGCCAAGATCTACTCCACAGGGGGCGGAGGGGGAGGAGGAGGAGGAGGAGGAGGAGGAGGAGGAGGAGGAGGAGGAGGAGGAGGAGGAGGAGGAGGAGGAGGAGAGGAGGAGCAGGAGAGGAGGAGGAGGAGGAGGAGCTAGGAGGAGGGGCTAGGAGGAGGAGGAGGGGAAAGGAGGAGGAGGAGGCGGAGGCGGAGGAGGAGGAGAAAGAGGTGGAGGAGGGCCCGCGCCGATCGGCAAAACAGTGCACGAGAGAAAACGGCCGCGCGTGGGAAGTTCTCCTCGCCCGACCTGTGCCGCCAGCGCGGCCTCAACGCCCGGCCGCTCGGCGCGGTGCCTCGCGCCGCAGGGCGCGGCAGACGGGGGCGACGAGGGCGACGCCGACGACGAGGGCGGCGACGAGGGCCGAGGAGGCATGCGGCTCCCATCGCACTCAAGTCAGGAGGGGGAAAAACACACAGACACAATTCATCGTCGATCCCCAGGAAAAGATGGGAAAATATGGGAGGTGGGGGGGGAAGACAAAAACCCAGAAAATATGAGAAAATATGGGGAATCCTTTTATTTGTGTATTTATTTGTGTGTCCCAGTTTCCCTTCATCAAGGGCCACCTCCCAGAATGAATTTCGAGCACCCGGAGAAGTGCCGAAACAGTGTCCAAAGAGGGCCGAAACGGTGTCAAACGCGTCTCCCGGGGCCCGGCACGTGGAAACCCTCCAGTTACGGTACTATCCTGGTGCTCGAAATGCTTTCTGGTGACCGAGGCTCAAGCAGGATGGAACATCATAAGCGACGAGGAGGGCGACGGCGACCACGACTGAAAGGACGACGACTGCGACGCGACGCCGATCTTAACGGCTGGGTCGGGCTGGCTGACCCGAAGTGGGGATGCCGCTACTTCCCGGACCTCTCCCTGGGTGCGTTCTGACCAGAACTCCGAGGCGAATCCAGCCGTGGCGACGAGGGCCTTCAGGACGCCCCAAATAAGCGAAAACAAGGGAAAGGTAGCGGTATGGGTACCGTCTCCCAGAGATCTGGCGTCGTGATTGTTTCAATACGGGGTCTCTGGAAGTCCCGACCCCTTCCCCAAGACCGGTTTTTCCTCCTGAGTCGTTTTTAGACGGTCCCAGGGCCCGCCGAGGGCCTCCATGAGACCGAAAACCAACGAATAACCTCCGACTATATTTTGGTTATGTATACTTTCGATCTCTGGCAAAAACAAAGCAAATTGTATAGCAAGATAGCATAACTCCCCGATGGACGTATCCTGCGTGACCTCGTGTGTGAGCCTGGAGGGAACACACCAAGGAAGTGGTACCGCAAGCGCAGACGTGGACGCCCGAAGCTGCAGTGGGCGGCGTGCGTCTTCCCATACGCATCCTGGTAATGTCTGCACTTTCTGTGTAATTATGTACTGCCTATGCGCCGTTTGGGCGCCTGGCTGCCTTGCTTGCTTGCTACTTTCGATCTCTGGGTTCCTCCTCTGCCTGACGGGCGGGTCGGACGGGCGGCCACCCCAACGGGCGGGCGCGGGCCGCGTCGGGCAGGAGAGCCCAGAATCGAATCGATACATCGAACCGTCGATCGAAATGAACCGCATCGGCGGAAGTCGGCAGCCCAGTCGGGAAAAGTCGCATCGGTTGACATCGGCAGGCCAGCAGGCCTGCATTGAGAAATCGGATCCCACATCGGAATCCGATGTCGAATCGCATCGGAATCGGAATCCATCGAAATCGGCTCGAACCGAATCGGAGGAATCGGGATGAGCCCTCGTCGGGCGGTGCCTCGCGCCGAAGACCAGGGTGGCCAGCCTCCGGCGCTCCGCGCCGCCCTCGGCCACGAGCAGGTCGAAGGCCGCCAGGAGCTCCTCGCGCCGCACGGCGCGCAGCGCCGCCGCCTCCTCTCGGCGGCGAGCCAAGGGGGGGCAGGAGGCGGAGGAGGAGGAGGAGGAGCTAGGAGGAGGAGCTAGGAGGAGGAGGAGGAGGAGGAGGAGGAGAAGCAGGAGGAGGAGGAGGAGGGGGAGGGGGAGGGGGAGGAGGGGGGAGGAGGGGGACGACGATGATGATGAGGACGCCGAGGAAGACGAAGGGGCGGGCCCTCGCAGAAGGCTCGGAAGTCTAGGGCGAAGCCAGGGCGAGGGTCAAATCGGGTGGGGATGAATCGAGAATCTCGGAGTTCCGGCGGCCCTGGAAGAGGTCTCGGGCGCCGCGGCCTTCTCGGAGCGTTCTGGAACGCTCTCAGAGCGTTCCGGGACGCTCCGGAACGGATTTCTCGTCCTCGCCCCGCCCGAGAAACGCCCCGGCCCTCCGAGAAGTCTTCTGGGACTTTCCGGAGACACGAAAAGAACCTCTCAGAAGGCGCGAGGGCTGCTGAGAAGTCCCGCCGCCTTCTGAGAGGGCCCTCTCCTTCTCGCTTCCCCCCCGGGCTCGCCGCCACTCCTCCGCTGCCCGCCGCCACTGGAACTCGAGCGTGCGGATCTCGACCCAGCTGATGTTCGGGAGCGGCAAAGAGGGGGGTGTCCAAGAGGGGGGGGGTGCAAATCATGACCGGCGGCATGTGCGCGGCCCAGCGGGGGGGCCAGGGACGTAACGAAATAAGAAGAGGCGCCATGAAATCTGGGGAGATATCATGGCCCCCGCCATGATGTCCACCCCGCCCCCTATAGTCATCATCCCCCTCTTTGCCGCACCCGAGATGTCCACGGCGTCCACCAGCGAGCTGCTGCGCTGCAGCCGGGCCTCCGCCAGGCCAGCGGCGAGCGCCTCGATCTCGCGCGCGGGCCGCGACGCCAGCTCCCGGCGGGCCCCGCGCAGGAACTCGTCCACGCGGCCGAGCATGCCTAGACGAGCGCGTTCCACGACTCGCAAAGTGACCACTAGCAAATGGCCTGGATCCGCCGCGGGGGATCTACGATAAATTACGTGAGAGCAGACATATGCGAGGAGGAGGAGGAGGAGGAGGAGGAGGAGGAGGCACTTTGCGAGCGGTGGAACGCGCTCGGCGAATGCCTGCGGGGCCCAGGGCGGCGCCCTGCAGGAGGAAGACCAGGCGCACCACGCCCTCGCGCTTGTCCGCCAGGCAGGCGACGACGCATCGGCGGAGGGGCCGGTCGGGACCACGGCGGCCCTTCCGGGCGCTTCTCCTCCTCGGCGGGGCCTCCCGGAGGCTTCTCGTCGCCACGGCTGGATCCGCCTCGAGTACAGGCGGACTTGATTGGACAGGACACGCGATAGGACACAAGACCCTTCGGAATGTCGGAGGCATGGGTCGCGAGACAAAGGACACAAGGATACCGTTGATTCGGCAGGGTCGACCTACTACTCCAGGCCGACTGTAGACCAGCGCATTCCACCGCTCGCAGAGCAACGACTCGCAACTGGTCCGGATCCGCCGCGGGGGACTCACGATCCATTGCATCGCGGCAAGAGCACGCGTTTGTCGGACGCTTGCGAGCAGGCACGTTGCGAGCAGTGGACCGCGCTCGGTGAGCGAAGAACGGGCCACGGTAGAACCCAGGAGGAGTACGGGCCGGGCGGGAGAGCCGCCGCAGTTGTCTCTGGGCGGCCTAGCTTTGCGCACTGCGCCGCGCGATGCGCGACGCGCGGCCATCGTCACGCCTTTGCGAGGCCACCTTGGAGAAGGGCAGCTCTCTGGCCCAGGTCGCGACGCGCGAAGCGCGGTGATCTTCGCACCCCTGGGGGTGACCTGGCCGTCTCAACCAGAGGCCTCCGAAGGATCGCGCCGCACCGCCGGGCTCTGCACCGAGCCGCATCGCCGATGCATCGGCGATGCGGCGCGATCCTCCGACCCTTTCTACTCCGACCTCATGCCCAAATCCACAGGCCCTCCCCCGAGATGTAGCCGAGCTGCTGCCGCGTGCGCAGCTCGTTGTAGAAGCTGGCCGACAGCGCCTGCGCGAGCACCTGCACGAGGGCCCAGCGCTGCCTGCCGGCGGCGCCGTCCCTTGCGCGGCAGCTGCCGCCCTGGAAGACCACCTCGAGGCCCGAGCTCTCCTCGGCCGCGTCCAGCGCGTCCCTCGCGAGGATGCACCCCGGCCCCGCGGGGCAGGCTGGGACCTGGACCACCGCGGGGTCGGGGAACCCGGCGGCCGGGAGCGGCCGGAAGCGCAAGCTTCCGTCGAAGGCGGCGATGGCGGAGGAGGCAACAGCGGGGCGAACAGAAACCGGCGGAGGTCCGCCCAGAGTTCCTGGACCGGCGCCGGGCCGGCCTCCTCGGCGCGCGGCCGCGCGCCCGGGGCCGAGGCGCCTGGTCCAAGAGGCCCGCGCAGAGCCCCGCAAGTTTCTGCTGCTGGGGCCGTTGCTTCTTCGGGATGATCTGGTCGGCCTCCTGGGCCCGCAGGTTACCCTGGCACAGGGCGAGGCCGAAGAGCGGCTCGCGCCCGAGCAGCTGCTGCGCGAACACGTCCAGGTCCTGTGAGGACGGGGGCGAGTACCGAGACCACGCCCCCCCGGACCTCTTCCGGGGAGCGTCCCGACCAGAACTGCGAGGAGAATGCCGTCGTGGCGACCAGGGCCTCCCAGGAGGCCCAAAGAACAGGAAACGAGGCAGGGGGGCGGCGGTGTCGGCGCCGACTCCTTCCGGGAGTGGCGTGGCGTGGCGACGAGGGCTCTCCAGGACGAGCTGCTCCCTTTCCTCCTCCGAGGTCCGCCGCGGTCAGCCCCCGGAGCTCGGAGGCGAGCTGGTCCAGCGAGAAGCTGGGGCTGCTCGTCGCGAGGCCCGCCCAGTAGCCCGCCTGCTGCAGGGGCGGCGCCGACGCGAAGGAGCTGAGCTCACGCACCAGCCTATCACGCTGCGCCTCGAACACCGCACCAGCGTCCGCGCTGGGCCGGAACCGCGCGAGCGCCGGGGCGATGACCTGCGCAAACTGGACGAGCCGGTCGTCGTAGCCGCCCAGGTTGAGCTGCAGTCCCCGCGCCGAGGCGGAGAGCTCGAAGGTGATGCCCGCCAGGCGCGCGTCGTAGAGGATGGGCTCCCGCAGGCTCTCGCAGAACACTTCGGAGAGCAGCCGCGACATCGCCGACGCCCGGGCGCTCGACCCGGGCAGCCTCGAGAGCAGGTCGATGCAGACAAAGGCCTTGGGAACGCCGAACTGGGTGTCCTGGCGGAAGAAGGCCTGCCACCTGCCGTTGGCAAGGCTTCGGGTTGCGCACGGGCGCCCCCACCCCCCGAGCAGTCACAGCTGGCCTCAACAGGCCCCACAAGTAGCCAGGAGCGCAGGATTGAAGTGTTGAGACTTGGGGGGGGGCTGTCGAGGCCAGCTGAGACTACCTGGGGTTGCTGTCTGTGCCCACCCCGAAGGTCTCACCACCTGGCACCCGACCACAAGAAACCTTCCACAAGAAACCTAACCCTGAGACCCCAGGACGTCCACTCATTCTTGGTGTGGGAATGTCCCGCTTTCCGTGGCAAAACCATCGAAACCCAAGAAACCCACGGCACCCTGAAGGCAAGCAGGGTGCTTCTTGGCATGGGTCTCCACTGTCCCACCTGCCGTCCCTGCGCAGCACCTCCGGCGGCGGCGGCGGCGCTCCCCTGGGCACCAGCGCCTGGCGCGCCGCCTTCAGCTCGAGGCTCCGCGGCACGAACGGGTTCGGCGAGGGCAACGCCAGCCCGGGCGCAGCCCGCGCCTCCTCCCACGCCGCGCGCAGGGTAGCGGCGGGCTGGGTCTGGAAGCGCGTGCCGTACCTGCCTGGGCGAGAAAAAAGCGGCACAAGCAGAAGCTCTTGGAGCTCGGCGCAGTCTGGAAGCGCTTTCCGTGCCTGGGCATCCTTTCCCCGATCCCTCTCCCCACTGGCGTGGCCCTGGCCCCACTGGCCGAGTTGCCCCCCCTGGATGGGGACAGCATGCCTGTTCCCTTCGGGCTTTGTGGGACCTGTCCCCACCTAGGAGGGTGGGCTGGTGGGGCCAAGATGCCATGGCCCAGTGGGGACGGGAATCGGTCAGACGATGCTGAAAAAGATGCTGATCGGCGGCGAGCCCTGGGGGGAAAGTGAGAAGGAGAAGACCTTCTCGGAAGTCCCCCCTGGCCTTCTGAGAAGCTCTCCAGGCCTTCCCCGAAGACACGGCAAAACGTCCCGAAGGCGCGAGGGCTTCTGAGAAGTCCCGCCGCCTTCTGAGAGGGCCCTCTCCTTCTCGCTTCCCCCCCCCCTCGCTCGCCGCCGAACCTGGGGAGGTGGGCCGGCGGGGCTGAGGTACCATGGCCCAGTGGGAACGGGGATCGGTCAGACGATGCTGAAGAAGCTCTTCAGTGCAACGCAGGTTTCGGTGGCAACTCATGGGAGCCTCCCATATCAACTCGTTGGCTCTTGCGAATCAACGCTGGTCGACGCGAATCGACGCCGAATCGGCGCTGAATCGACGCGCCAATCGACGCGAACCGACCCTGAGACCCCAGGACGTCCATGGAGTGTTGGTGTGGGAACGCCACGCTGTCCATAGCAGAGCCATCGAAACCCAGGAAGCCCAGGGCACCCTGGAGGCAAGCAGGGTGCTTCTTGGCATGGATCCCCACTCTTAGGCCAGGCGCCCATGATTTGCTGCCGAAGCAGGCGGTGTTCTCTGCGGGGACGACGACGAGGGGCTGCGCGCCGTCGGAGGAAGCTGCGCGGGGGGGGCGACCACGCGCTGGGCCAACGCCTGGCCGCCTCCAGGAGCACTGCACACCCAAAAACGTGCTGCCAATCTCTTGGGAGGCGGAGGACCTACTGTTAAGTCGGGCCTGTCCCCCTGCAAGGGGGATTTTCGACGAAAAATGAAAAATACCTCAAAAACATACCCCAAAAAGGTTCGAAAATACTCAAAAAATAGTCCCCAGACTATTTTTGGACTGTGTTTTGACTATTTTTGGATGTATGTTTATTTTTCGTCGAAAATCCCCCTGAGGGGGACAGGCCCGACTTAAACCTACTGACCCGGGTCAATCCAGACTTCTGAGCACGCGCGTCGCCCGCGTTGAGCCGACGCACATCATATCAGACTCGTCTGGATGATGCCGACAAGATCGACGTCCGGGAAGGACTTCGGGAACCTGCTGACCCAGGCCAATCCAGACCTGGGTCGGTCAGGCCTCGCAGGATCCCGCCAGGTCCCGCAGGGTCCTGCAGGATCTTGCGCCCCAGGCCCGGGCCGGTGCGCCCCTGGCTCTGCAGAATCCTGCGAGATCGGGCGCTCTGACTCACCCCCGTTTGCACTGACCCCCGTCTCTTGAGCCCCGACGTCAAAAGCTTATGTCCTCCTCCTCCTCCTCCTCCTCCTCCTCCTCCTCCTCCTCCTCCTCCTCCCCTCCTCCCTCCTCCTCCTCCTCCTCTCCTCCTCCTCTCCTCCTCCTCCTCCCTCCTCCTCCTCCTCCTCCTCCTCCTCCTCCTCCTCCTCCTCCTCCCCCTCCTCCCCTCGCCGCCCTCCCGCTGCGGAGGAGGCGGCACTGGCACCGTGGCAGCTCCTCCGATCCTCAAGGGCAGGGACCTCTCTGGGGCGCCTCGCACGACAGGTTGGACTTGGAGGCTTGGGAGTGGGCACCAACACCAACTCAGGGGCTTGGCCTCCGCAGGGGGAAGATGGCCCCAGATGTCGGTGTCGGTGGCCATCTTTCGGCCACCCAGGAAGCCCGAACATGACCACCACCACTGAGATCGGGATCCTCTTCCCTCGGCGGAGGCGCACCGCCGAGAGCGGTGTTGGTGTCAACCCCTGGGCTTCCGAGGGACGACGCTGAGTACCACTTCTCGCTCTCGACCGCGGCCCGGCGGAAGTCCCTCGAGACCACCGTGACCAGCGCGTTCCCCGGCGTGAGGGCCCGCACGCAGGACGCCACCGCCCGGGGCAGCCCCGGTCCGCCCTCCAGCACCTGGAGGAAGCAACACCAAAGACACTGCATCAGCGCACAGTCCTCGTGCTGCAACAGGTGCAAGGCGAAAGTGCGAGGCGGGGACATATCCACATCCACCGCCTGGGGAACCGACGTCCCGGGGCCCCAGCGGGCGGTGCATACGGATATGGATTGCCCCCAGGGGTACTGAATATGTCCATATCCACCGCCTGCAGTGTCCCCCGAATATCGATCCCCCAAGCGGTGGATATGTATAACTTCCCGCCTCGGAGAAAGGTGAAAAGAGGTGCAGCTCCGACGAGGCCGGGTATTTGGCCCACCGCGCGGCAAGCCACTCACGTGAAACACTGCACGGAGGAATCTGACAGGCCGAACCACCTGCCGCGGGTTCTGGCAACAGCAGTCCTGCTGCGGTGGCCGTCCGTCGCGCAGAAACGCCTCGTCTCATCCTCCCACTTCATGCGTCTGCCGCAGGAAGGTCTGGGACGAGGAGCGAAGGGGCTTTTTCTGGCCGCAGCGAACATCGGCCACGACTAGGTTCCACGACCTGAATCCAAGAGACGGCCCGAAAACCAGAGCACCACGAGAGCCCAAGGTGGTCATTTCTCCAGCGTCTTCGCCATAAACTCTCGGAGGTTCGCGCGGGTTTCTTGGATCTGTTGGATGTGAGCTGGGCCCCCCCTCCAGCGGCGGCGACGGAGGCGCCGCCAGGGCTGCCCAGCGCCGATCCAAGGCAACCCGCGCGGAGTTCAAACAGGTTGTGTTTACGCAGCGCTTTCTTCCTCGAGCACCGCCGTCCGCAGCAAGTAGTCTCTGGGCTCCTGGCACTTCTGCATGCTGCCCGCCAGACTCAGGACGGCATCGGTAGCCTCCGAGGGGGAAAGATAGGGGGTGGACTGGCTCAGGTGGAGGGGGGGGACCTCGACCTGGAACTGGCGATACACATCGCCGATGGATCGTCCCCCCTGCCCATGTCGGCGATCAACGGGCGCCTGGGGGTCGGTACGCTCCCCCCCTGAGCCTATCCCCACGGTGATCCTCCGTCGTCTGGCTTTCGGGTCAACGCTCGGACGCTCGGGTCTCCGGCCAGACAATCCCAGCAACCCCAGAACGCTCTTGACACGGCGCAGCGGGTGGACCCTACCCCGGGTCCCGAGAACCTCCGAAAACCTTTGAAAACTTGTGGAAACATATATTATCCCAGTGCGACCCTACCTGGGAGTTGGAGCATCTAGGAAAGCAACATCTACATCTACACCGACAGCTACATTGATATCTACACCTGCATCTACAACTACATCAACATCGACAGCGAGACTCACATCTACATCTACATCTACACCTACATCTACACCTACATCTACACCTACATCTACATCTACATCTACATCTACATCTACACCTAAATCCACATCTACACCTACATCTACATCTACATCTACACGATCGCATTGGTGTTGGTTGTGATGTTGCTTTGCATTGCCTCGCCTTTGCTTTTGCTTTTGTGTTTGCTATTGTTATTGGTTTGTTTGTGTGTGTGCTGTTGTTTGGTTGTGTTGTTGATATGCTGCGCTATGCTGTGCTATGTTATGATATGCTATGCTAGGCTATGCTATGATATGATATGATGCGTTATGATATGCTATGTTATGATATGTTGCGCTATGGTATGCTATGCTATGATATGATATGGTATGCTGCGCTATGCTACACTATGAGATGCTGCGCTATGCTATGATATGATGTGCTATGATATGCTATGATGTGCTATGCTATGCTATGATGTGCTGTGCTATGCTATGCTAAGCTATGCTATGATGTTACGCTATGCTATGCTGTGCTATGCTGCGCTATGATGTGCTGCGCTATGATATGCTGCGCTATGCTATGCTATGATATGGTATGATATGATATGCTATGATATGTTATGCAAATTCTGCGCTGCGCTAAGCTAAGCTAAGCTGAGCTAAGCTAAGCTAAGCTAGGCTAGGCTAGGCTAAGCTAAGCTAAGTTAAGCTAGGCTAGGCTAAGCTAAGCTAAGCTAAGCTAAGCTAGGCTAAGCTAAGATGAGATAAGCAAAGCTAATCTAAGGGGGCGTAACTGGGGGAACCGCGGGGCGGATCCTGGGGGAACCGCCCGGGGCGATATCCACTGCCCGGCCCTTTAAGCCCAGAGAGTAAGAACCCTTCTAGGCTGAGCCTAGGTAGGGAACAAACGTCTGAAAGCCTCCGAAAACCTCCAGAAATCTCCGCCGAAGCCTGCGAAAACCCCTGAAAACGTCAGAAACCTCTCGAAAAACCTCAAAAAAAACCTCCGATGACTTCCGGAAACTTACGACAGTCCGAAAGCCCCTCAACGCTGCCCCCAGGCCTCGGGCTGCTCCGAGGAGCGCCAATTCGCCTCCGAGAGCAGCACGCTCTCCTCCAGCAGCTCGCGCGGCCATTCCGGCAGCTCGCGCAAGAAGCGCACGTAGCCGAACAGCAGCTGGAGCACCTCTCGGAGGCGTCCAAGGAGGGGGGCGTCCAAAGAGGTGGGTTCGCAAAGCGTGGCCCGAGGCACATGCGCGGACGAAAGGGCGAACCAGGGTGCGCGTGCACAGAAGAAGAGGAAGAAGAAGGATCAGAAGAAGAATAAGAAGGAGGATAAGAAGAAGAAGGTAAAGAAAAATAATAAGAATGAGAAGAAGAAGAAGAAGGATTATAATAAGAAGAAGAAGAATAAGAAGGATCAGAAGAAGAAGAAGAAGAGGTGGCCATGGAATTCGGGGAGATCTCATGGCCCGGCAATGATACCCCCCTTCATAGTCATCGCCCCACCTCTTGGTAGCCCCCGAACCTCGTCGCGACACTCGAAGCCTGCGGGCGTGAGATCGACGCTGACCTTGATCAGGGCAAACGTCTCGTTCTCCTATCGGCGGGCGCCAACTGTGCATCTGCACCGATCCGCGGCTCGTCCTGGAGAGCCCCCGTCGCCACGGCTGGACTCGCCTCGGAAACTCAGGTCAGAATGGACTTCGGCCTTCCGGCAGCCGAAGACGGCGCAAGAGCCCCGAAAGATCGCCCAAGAGGCCTCCAGGATGGCCCCAAAATGGCCAAGAGGCCCCCAAGACGGCCCCAAGAGGGCCCCCAGACGGCTCAAGAGGCTTCCAAGAGGCCCAGAATGGCTTCCAAGACGGCCCTGGAACACCCCAAGAGGGTTTCAAGTCGGCCCAGAGAGGCCCCTAAGACGGCTTCCGACGGCGTCAGACGGGCCAGGAATGCCCCGAGACGGCCAAAGCGGCCCCCGAGACGCCCCCAAAGGCCCCCAAGAGATCCAAGGAGGCCCCAAGACGGGCCAGGAATACCCTGAGACAGCCAAAGAGGCCCCCGAGAAGCCCCCAAAGGCCTCCAAGGGGCCCAAGGGGGCCCTCAAGATGCCTTCAACAGGCTCCCAGGAAGCTCCCTGGAGGCCCCAAGAGTGCCCCCAGAGGCTCCCAAGAGGCCCCCTCCTCCACCTCCTCCTCCACCTCCTCCTCCTCCTCCTCCTCCTCCTCCTCATCCTCCTCCTGATTTTCCCCGCCATCCTCCCCCACGTGTTCCCCGAAGGGTTTCCACAACGGTTGGGGGAGCACTGGCCCGATAGCTCGGCAGAGCTCTTGCCACAACGCTCGGCCACATGCGCGATTTCAAAAGGCAAGGGGCGGCGGTGATTCGCCGTATGCGTCTTCGATCCGCCGTCCCCTGTTGATTTATCACAGGGGTGCCTGGCGTGCTGGACTTCTTACGGTTTTGGCGTTGGTTCGTTTCCCCCCCCCCCCCCGAAAAAAAAAAAAACAAAAAAACTCCCCTGGGGCTTCGGCCCGCCCCGCCGGCCACCCGAAAGGGACCGCGATCGCGCACGACGCCCGCAAAAAGTCTTCCAAGACGGCTCAAGGTGGCCTCCAAGACAGTCAAGATGGCCCAAGATGGCCTCCAAGATGCCTCCAAGACGGCCAGGCGGGCCTCAAAGACGGCTAAGATGGCCCCAAGATGCATCCAAGACGGCCCAAGATGCACCCAAGACGGCCTAAAATAGCCTCAGGATGGCCCAAGACGGGCCAAGATGGCCCCACGACGGCCCATGAGGCCCCCAAGACGGCCCCTCAAGGGCCACAAGACAGCCCAAGAGGCCTCCAAGGCGCCCAAGATGGTCTCCGAGATGGCCCTGAAGCGCCCGAAGAGGGCCCCAAGTCGGTTCAGAGAGGCCCCCAAGACGGCTTCCCACGGCGTCAGACGGGTCAGGAACGCCGTAAGACGGCCAAGGAGGCCCCCTAGAGGCCCCCAAAGGTTCCCAAAGGCCCCCAAGAGGCCCCTAAAAGGCCCCGGGAGGCTCCCAAGAGGCCTCCAAAAGGCTCCCTGGAAGCTCCGCCGAGGCCTCGCAAGAGGCATCACAAGAGGTCCCCCAAGAGGTTCGCAAGAAATCTCCACCGCCTCCTCCTCCTTCTCCCCAATTATTACATCCTCATCCTCATCCTCCTCCTAATCATCATCATCCTCCCTCTCCTGATCCTCCTCCTCTTGCTCCCTCACGCGTTTCCCGAAGGCTTCCCAAACCGACTCGGAGAACAACCGGCCCAATAGCTTGGCCAAGCTCTAGCCCAGCTGTCGGCCACATAATCGCTTCCAAAAGGGCAGGGGGCAGGGAGGCTCCAAAAATCAAGGAGGCCTCCCAAGAGGCATCCCAAGAGGTTCCCAAGAAGTCTCCTCCTCATCCTCCTCATCATCATCATGATGATCATCATCCTCCTCCTCCTCCTCATCCTCATCCTCATCCTCATCCTCATCCTCCTAATCATCAACCTCCCTCTCCTGACCCTCCTCCTCCTCTTGCTCCCTCACGCGTTCCCCGAAGGCTTTCCAAACCGACTCGGGGAACAACTGGCCCGATAGCTCGACCAAGCTCTAGCACAGCTGTCGGCCACATAGGCGCTTCCAAAAGGGCAGGGGGCAGGGAGGCTCCAAAAATACAGCCAAGGGATGCCCCCCAGAACGATAAGCAGACCAAACCGAATTCCTCTCTGTGTGCATTCTCCCCCACGTGTTCCCCGAAGATGTGTCAGTCCGACTCGGGGAGCAGATTGTCCAATAGTTTAACCAATCTCTAGCCCAACTTTTGGCCACATAAGCGATTTCAAAAGGCAGGGGCCGGCGATCATTCGCCGTAGGCGTCTTCGGTTTACTTACAGACCTAACACCACACGCGCGCTTCGCGCGCTTAGATTCTAGCTGAAGTTGTACCCTAAAGTGTTCGGAATTGGAGGACGCAGGCTGTCGCACAGGTCGTGCCCCCCAGGGAGCTCCACCTCCAGCCCCGGAGACAGGCCTCGATAGCGCTCCCCCGCCCCTGCCGGCACACCCCTCAGGCTCGCGCCCCACAGGGAGCCTGCGTCCCCAGAGACAGTGCTCGCACAGTGGCACGCCCCTCACGCGGATCATGCCCGGCAAATCTGCGGGAGGATAAAAGAGGGAGCGGGACTCCGCCCAGCACGTCGGACGACGCCGTCGAAGGAAGGCCTCTCGGGCGCAGAGGCTCAAGCATCATCCTGGATTCCTTCAGGAAGGGCCAGGGGTCCTCGTCGTGTTGCCTTCCCCCTCCGCTCCATCCTGAAAACAAGTGTCGGAATGCGGATGCTTCACAGCGCCGGGGCCCACTGTGGGGCGATACTCCTGGAGTTAAGTCGGGCGTGTCGCCCTACAGGGGGATTTTCGACGAAAAATAAATTATTCCAGTGCGACCCTACCTAGGAGTTGGAGCCCCTAGGAAAGCAGCATTAGTAGTAACAGTAAAGCTAAACTAGCTAAGCTAAAGCTAAGCTAAAGCTAAGCTAAAGCTAAGCTGAAGCTAAGCTGAAGCTAAGCCAAAGCTAAGCTAATTCTAAGCCAAAGCTAAGCTAATAAGCTCTAAGCTAACACTAAGCTAAAGCTAAGCTAAAGCTAAGCTAAAGCTAAGCTGAAGCTAAGCGAAAGCTAAGCTAAAGCTAAGCTAAAGCTAAGCTGAAGCTAAAGCTGAAGCTAAGCGAAAGCTAAGCTAAAGCTAAGCTAAAGCTAAGCTAAGCTAAAGCTAAAGCTAAGCTGAAGCTAAGCTAAGCTAAAGCTAAGCTAAAGCTAAAGCTAAAGCTAAGCTAAAGCTAAGCTAAAAGCTAAGCTAAAGCTAAGCTAAAGCTAAGCTAAAGCTAAGCTAAAGCTAAGCTAAAGCTAAGTTGAAGCTAAGCTAAAGCTAAGCTAAAGCTAAGCTAAAGCTGAGCTAAAGCT